GTCATCTGGTGCCTCCTGTAAGGAAAGTCTGCACTGTAAGAAGACCAGGAGCTGAATTGGTACGTCTGGTCTTATCTTATCGGACCTTGGTGCTTGTGTCTACAATCACCAGCTGCTCTCACTTCTGCTGCTCTCTCTGATGGAAAACACAGTTTCTCTCTGGGTTTAAAGATAGATCCCTCAAGGGCCTGCTTCCTTCTGCACTATTAGATAATTGCTGAGTCCACACAAGGTGAAGGTGCTGCGTTGCAAACCCACAAGCTTGAACACGGGTTAAGCTTTTGAAGTTCGAATGCATACATTGTTTCCACTATTCAAACACAGTAGAGTTTATTAACTTCTATGTGCAACATTTTACAGCTCCTTCCCTACTCTTCTTGTAGGAAACGTTTTAAAATTCACTCTGCTGCAGTCAGGTTGCGCCCTGCTCCTCGTCATGATTGCGGCTGTCCCATTTATTTTTCTGCCGCCATTAAAAAGGGGCCTGTACGAAATGACAACCGTTTGATAATTGGTAGTTGTAAAGCTCTGATAATTGGCGAGACTCTAATTACAGGGTTGTGCGATAGGTAGTTTCCCCCTGCCACTGAAAATGGTGTAGCTAGTCATTCAGGGAGATAATGCTCAGAGAAGAAAGGGCGAGTGTGTGAGTTGTTCTGTGTGTGAGACCGAAAGATGTCAGAGGTGTGTTTGCTCTTTAAAGAGACAGAAAGAAGCATGTTAGAAATACATTATCGGCACAGTGCTGAATATAAACTACTTGCTTTGTACTGTGTGTCAAGGGGACAGAAGACTAATACACACTGTTTATCATTCACAAAGGGAGCGCAAACAACAGACTCTGCATCTTCTTTTTGCTGTAACGAAACATTAAAAATGCACAATATGCACTTATAGCATTGGTCTGTTGTTTTGCTAATGTGACAACTGAGTTTATATTATAGCTCAGCTCCAGAGGGTATAACCGAGACTGCAGCTAATTTCTCATCCCACAGTTTTACTGATAATCCTGCCTATGTTGGACCTCATTAAACATTTGGTCCTGTTCTGTCAACTCAACTGTGTAAAACAAGAAGAAAAAAAAACATGTTTTTAGTTTAATAATTTTAGAAAATTTTATACATGAACCCACAAAGTCCATGTTCTAAATTGCACTAGAACAAATGAAACATCAAAATATTTCAATAATTCAGATTTTATTAATGTACTAATTATGTCAAAACTAATCAAAAAGGTGTAATTAAATTGTTTATTTCAGCTACACTTTGTACAGATCCTTACAACTACTCACTGATTATTAACAGTTACAACAACTATCTGGACAGAAAATAATAAGGAAACCTGGTGGTGGAATAGTGAAGTGCAGGAAGCCGTTCAAAGAAAGAGATTAACCAAGAAGAAATATGACAGTGAGAGGACTGAAGAGAGGAGACGGGAAGGAGATGGAACAGAGCAAAGAAAGAGGTAGCTAATGCAAAGCAGAAGGTGTATGACGAATTGTATGGGAGGCTGGACACTAAAGAGGGCGAGAAGGATTTGTACCAATTGACGAAACAGAGGGATCAGGCTGGAAAGTATGTGCAGCAGGTTAGTCTTGTTAAAGATAGGAATGGTAATGTTCTACAAGTGAGGACACCATGAGTGGGGAGATAGGACTAATTTGAGGAGCTAATGAAGGAAGAGAATGAAAGATAAAGAAGAGTAGAGATCGAAGAAACTGTGGACCAGGAAGTGGGAATGATTAGTGAGGGTGAAGTTCAGAAAGCTCTGAAAAGAATGAAGAAAGGGAAGGCAGTAGGACCTGATGACATGCCAGTGGAGGTTTGAAAATGGCAAGAAGAGATGGCAGTGAGGTTTTTGACTCAAATATCCAATGGTATGTTTCACGGGGAGAAAATTCCTGAGGAATGGAGAAGAAGTGTGCTGGTGCCCATTTTTAAGAACAAGGTTGATGTACAGAGTTGTAGCAACTACAGGGGTAGACGTAAGAGTGAGACGGAGGAGGATGACCTGCTGTGGCAACCCCTGAAGAGGGATTAGCAGGCAGAAGGAGATGATTAACAAGACTCTACCATTATCTGCTACCAGATTATTCCATCTTCGTTTAAAGTAAATACATTTCAATCAATAAACAGAATCTTAACACCTAATTTTCATTCCTAATCCATATTCATTTAGCCTTTATTTATACAGGTTAATCCCATTGAGCCTCGTAGACTCGATGACATATGTAGTTACCAATTTGTCCAGATTATTGACCTGAGCAAACACAAAAATGCCTTGAAACTCAGTCAAGTTAACATTTGTTGAGATATAACTTGGTTTGGTAGTTTGCAAAAATCTATTTTTTCACATTGTCATAAAGAGGTATTGTTTGTAGAATTTTGAGCAAAGAGATTATTGTAATACAATTTGGATTAAGGCTGTAACATAAATAAATATGCGGAAAAAGTGAAGCTCTGTGAATACTTTTTGGATGCACTAAATATACCGTATGTATATATATTTGAAGTTGGCTTCTTTTATTCCTTTATCTTGTTTTAAACAAAATTTCATGCTTTAGTCACATTTTGCACCTGTAACATTTAAGCGTCTTAAATTGTGATATTTTTAATCTTGTATTGTATTTTATGTCTTACTACCATATATTTTGTTGTAAATATTTCAATACTACTGTTACTGTTATTAAGACTGTTGCTTTATTTGTAAACGCTTGTCTGCACATTGCCCAGGACATCCTTGTAAAATAGATTAATAATCTCTGTGGATTTATTTTCTGATAAAATAATATAAGATAGAACTTTAGTGATCCCGCATTAAATTATTGTGCCAGAGTTTCGGTACAAAGGAACATACACAAGAATCACAAGATATAAAGATAAAAGAATATTTTAAAAAATGCCAACAATTTTCAAAACGGGTGCAGACAGAAACATTAAAGAGTTTATTGTAGTATACAGTAAAATAAAGGTTTAAATAAAATATTGCTTGTAAGTATAGTTTCCTCAAATGATTGGGGTGGCCCTTGGGGTGGCCGAAGATAAAGCTATTGTGGCCAAGGCCACCACTGACCACCCCCTGGCTCCACCATTGTGCCTGGTGATGGATAAAATTGCTCCCTCCACTTCCAGGTTTGTCACTCTGTGCCACAAGCAACAAGCTAAACATTTTTTTTAAAACTACCTCTTTTTATACACAATGGTTATAATCAGAGAAGGAGCATAAGCACAAGTTAAGCAGCGTCTCATAAGGAAGCTTTGGTATTAATTGGGGCATCAGCTTGCAGATAAACAGAGACAGAATGGGTCCATGTTTCCAGTCTGTATGACAGCTGGCAGCACCCAGTCTGACTCCTGTGAACCAGTCGAAAATAACAAACTGCTCTTCTCAGAAAGTCATTCTTATTTGAAGATGTGGTCCATCTCAGCTGGTAGTGGAGCTGAATGTCACCCCAACCTGTTCGTGCAGTGTCTGCTCCTGGGAGCATTAATTAGAAACTACCTCCCAGCTCACAGGTAGTCTCCACACTGTTTCTGGCAGTGGGAACTGAGTCAGTCACTTTGTTCCAGCTGGTGTTACTGTGTTGGAAACAGCCCGCTCAGACATGCCAATTGAGGTCTCAAACTTTCTTTGACTTGAGGGAAACTTCATATTACTTGACTATGTTGCCTCTTCTGGGTTCATTAACTCAAAATACATTTTTGACAAGAGACCATTTCTGAACTGGACATGTTTATTCAATAAACAAGCAACTGGGCTCACAAAGTAATAAATCAAGTTGTTTCAGTCTAATTGCCAGTTTCATTAGCCCTTATCTCTGTGAGAATATATTGAGCTCAGTTTAGCTCAAGTGCTTAATTTCAAAAGATAAACAACAGAAAATACATACAATTCACATCAAAATGACTTTTTTTTTTTTTTATTATACTCGAGAGCACAAACTGGGATTTCAATGCTGACAGTGAAGATTGATTCACAGTCTTAACATCGGTAGACGGAGTGCCACGTATACTTCATCACCTCAAGGTCAAGGTCACAAACGAAGGCTAAATATTACACAAGATCTTTGCTTGTCTGGCCTCATCTATAGATTCTTGTTCCGCTGTATAAATGTTGGATAAAAATATCCTCTATTCATTTTACTTACTCAAATAAGCCACACTCGACATGAGAACATTAACTGGTTTTACTGGCGAGGGCAGACTTTCACAACAGGTTACACAGATGTACAGAAGTTTTACATGCATGGAGCCCAGTCACGAGAATCTGCCATGAGCAGCATGCGAGGTGTGTTTTTATAACCTTATCAGCTCCCGGCTCAAAGGCAGCAGACTGGTGACCTTGGCCACCCAGCTGCACATGCAGGATCAATTAATCTCCTCATTTAGCCCTCTCTGAGAGAGAAAAGAACTGCTATCTCAAACACGTGGCTCATGGGCAGTTAACATTCACAGCTGTAGTAGTTAAAAACATCCATAAACTTTGACCAGAATTCCTTGACAATAATCGTTTATTGAGGAGCATATAATGTGCCGTTACAGCACTTAAGTTGTTACATTTGTAGTTCTAGAAGAAAAAGAGCAGGGACTGTGATTTGAAGTATCAAACTGTTAAAGTTCTGTTTGGTGATTTAAAAGCAATAATGTATTCAGTTACCCAGAGAAAAGAGACTTTAACAACATACAACAGCAAAAACTGTTCCACTGCAGTCTTTATGGATATATTTACCAGCAGACACTTTGACTTTAAAGACCAACACGAGTGTTTTAACCAAGGCTTCATTCCAGTTCTGCAGCAGTTCATGGCGGTTCTGTCAAAATGCTAAAGAGCAGAACTTCTAGATGGAGCGCAGCTCTCATGAATACACTTGTGCTTTCCCTGCTCTTTCAAATCAAAACGTTTAATTGCTGTTGAATGGGACTCTTGTTTGCATAGATTTCATGCAGGTATGATACAGATGGTTAGAAACTTAGCTTAAATGTATTTTTATTTTCCCTCAGGATCCAAGCCAAGACCAGGGAGCTGAGGGAGCGTCAAGCCCGGGAACGGGACTATGCTGAGATTCTGGACATTAGTCGCACGTCGGAGAGATCCTCTGAAGAGGACCACCTCTACTCTGGCATGAGCCCCCTAAACAGCTCTGTGGACTATGGCCACAGCCGACCACACAGCCCCCGGGACGATTACCCCCACATCCATCACCAGCACCAGCACTCCGACAGCCTCTATACCCAAATCAGCAAGGCTCGCAACGATCGACCTCCATCCACAGACAGGTAAGGTGGCATTTGAAACTTGTCCTTCCTGCGTAGTTTCCTACACCTTGGTGACATGAGTCAGCGACTGGCATCAGATTTATATTTTCTGCTTTTTGGATCAAGCTTTGGGGCTATATTGTCTTTAGGCCCTTCACGATAACAAATTTTGCTGGGTGATTAATTATGTCAGAAATTATTGCGATAAACGATAATATTGTTTGAAATTTGACAATAATTCATCATTGTTTTCAAATTTAAGAAGAAATGTTGGTTAATTTGTTTTGAGTGTGGTACCTTTTTATCACCACTGGATGGACAGTTTGAACCGAAGGATGGATAGTGAGGGAGCGAGCAGCGTGTCTCTTTAAGAAAAATGGGAGGGAGGCCCCTTGACGTGACATGGGCTGTCTGTCTTTGATTCTCAAAATGGTGGACGCTCAGTGTAGTTTGAGCTCTTTATTCTAGCATCTTTCACACAAAGCTTTTAATAAAAAAAATCAGTAAACAAGTTCTCAGCTTCTTTTTTCGGAGAAAAACAACTTTTTACACAAAGGCACGGGTTTCAACTGTGAATTTTTGGAGCTTTGTTACAAGACGGAGGTTTTTCCCGAAGTTGACCTGTTAGCTTAGCTCGTAGCTTAGCTGCTTTTAACGATCCAAAAACGCTATTTTGGTCGGTTAAAACGGATTTTAAAGAGAGAGGGAGGGGTCAGTGAAGAAAGGGAGGGGTCAGTGAAGAAAGGGAGGGATCAGTGAAGAAAGGGAGGGATCAGTGAAGAAAGGGAGGGATCAGTGAAGAAAGGGAGGGATCAGTGAAGAAAGAGAGGGATCAGTGAAGAGCACCGGAGTTGATCCTTTTGTCATCCAGTGTCTTCAGTAGAAAGAGAGACACAAAGAAACGATAAAGCCGATAAATGAAAATGAGGTCGATCATTTTCTTTTATCATGCGCTTAATTGATGTATTGCTTATCGTGACAGGCCTAATTGTCTTCTTTCTTTTGTTTTACGGAAAAATAACTCTACAGCTGCCAATCACAGCTCATCAACCTGAAACTTAAAGCACACCTCGGTCTCGGGGTTTAACTAAAAGGTCTGTCCAGGCTGGACCAACCACTAAGCAGCATTTTTGCTTTTTTTTTTTTTTTTTTGGCTATCGCACCTGGAGAAGAAAATAATCACAGCAACAGAAGGCAGGCGGTAAATGTCAACTGTGAGACGCCACACGCCACTCTCAGGGGGATTTACTCAGGGGAAGAAACGGGTGAATGGAGACCTTTTGAATATCTGTCTCCCGTGACCTTTCTACCTCTTTCTTTTCGTCTTCTGCTCCCTTGTTGATTTCACCTCAGTGCAACCTTTTAACTTTGCTGCATTCCCTTCACTTTCTTCATCTTCGCAGGTTCATTTTGACCTGAACTGCTGGCAGCTTTATAAACACTCCGTCACCGGTTGAATGACAGCTGCCAGTCATCTCATTATAATCCCCCCGCTGTGGCAGAAAATTCATCTTTTGCCTTCGTATTCAGCAGTGTGGCTCTGTGAGGTTTCCTGATCAGTAATAAAGGAAAAGCTGGCCGAGTGGACGCCGGAAGGTTCTGCATCTCATCTGCAGCAGCAGTTCTCTGCACTGCACTGCACTGCAGGCCTGAGCCGGGCCCTCCTCCAATCAATGGATGGAGAGATGCATCGCCCTGAGATGGGTTTGGGGGAACTTGAAACCAATCGAGTGGAGCCTGCAGGGCAGCAGAAGTGCAGAGGAGCAGATGCAGCACTGAATGAACGGGTTTCGTGTTTTTAACGTGTCTCCAAATGGCCTCAGGCGGTCTGCGCTAAGTTAAAAAGTGCTGTAGCTCATATTGATTCATAATTTATTGTGCTGCTGCACTTTGACACGCCGGTGCACAACACAAGATAATATACGAGCATTACAGACGGGGAGTCTTATTTAATTAGGCGACAGAATTCGTTTATAAGCCCGAGCACAGACTCTGATCAACATCCTATTAAAATTTTTATCCTTTTCACTTATTTACCATTGAATTAACCCCCCCACCCCCCACTACTTAATAGAAATTCTTTTCAGCTTCAAGTCACTTTGAGGTGAATGCGCTGAAATGTTCCACAGCGATAACAAGCCAATGAAAGAGCACTACAAGTTTTTGTCTTTTAATATTTCAAGCCACTGATCAAGTAGAAATCTGTTTACTAATTCTAGCTGCTCAAAAATTATAATTTGCTCACTTTTGTTCCCCGTTTTGTATCGTTTAAATTTGGAATTCATATCTTTTAAAGGCAAGAAGCCAAAATAACAGAATGATTGAGGCCTTTGGAGCATTTTTTTTTTATTGGTTTGAAGTGTCAGTTTGGAGAAAAGTTGCTTGTAGCAACAAAACTGAAGAATAAAACAACCCTTTTTAACACTGAGTTAAGCTAATTTTGACCTACATGCTTATAATTTATTAGAATAATGGTCAAGTCTTTTTTGAAAATAAGATTTTTATTCTTATTGAGACTTTTACCTGAATACATACAGAATATCTACTGTTTACTTTTAACTGTACTCACTGCAGTGTCCTAAAGACTGCTAATAATCTGCACATTTATTTCTTAACTTTAAATTAATGGCGATTGTGTCTTGGTGCAAAGTTTTTAGGGAAAACTTAAGAACGGCTGGCAACGACCCCGTGTGTTTTTTTTTCCAATGGAAACAACCGACATGACTGAAAATAGAAAGTGTGCAGAGTAAAGTTATTTGTTTACGTTGAGTGCGTACCTGCATTTCAGAACTGCATAGCAATATATCTGGAGAGCCACTGAACTAAAGTCTGTCAAACTGCAACGTTTGATATACTTTAAGATCAAAGGTTTCATGTTTGATTTAATAGTTCTCAAAGAGTACTTTAATCTGTTTTGTATTGCCAGCTGTTATAATTATTTAATATTAAGAGAATTTTTCCAAGTTGAGCAACAAAAAGTCACTTCATCCTGAAGCTTATTAAAACTTCCTTCAGGTTAATAAACCTTGGCGTTATAGCTTATAAAGGAAATGCTTCAGTTTATTTTATAGTTTTATTTTTACTTCATTTGAGTTATTTACTCTTTGTATGTAAACATAGCTTAGGTGTAGTATTTAATAAAAACATATACCTTATTTTTTGCTGTATAATTTGCACCTTTTTGCTTAAATGTGCAAGTCCTGCGATTTATACACCAAAACAACAAATACATGATTTTTCTCATATTTATAACCCAACTTTGACTGAGATCTGACGATTTCATTCATTCTGACATGGAAAATATTGAACACTACCATTTTCAGCCTCTAGAGGACCTCCGAGCAATATGGAAAGCCAAGTGTCTCATTAATAGGTAAAAGTGGCTATTAATGAGACGGTTGGCTTGCCATACCAAGTCACCTTCGTTTCGCCCCAGAACTCCTGGAACAAACGTCAAATCAGCTGCATTTCGCCGCAGCGCCCAGTTGAACTGCAGCTGATTTGACCATTAAAGTGCATTTATTGAGGAAAAGTTCAACTGAGACACACCTTTACTGTAATTTTGAGCAAAAAAATAATTGTTTTTAAGTGTTAATCCTGTTAAATTCTTGTTAAAGTCCTCCCGTGCACGCTCCTGCGGCCGCCATTTGGCAGCCAATCAACTTTTGGCACCCAATCAACTTTTGGCACAACACCGGCCCACGTTTCCAGGTGGTTAATGCGTATTAGATGCGACTTATACGGCGAAGCGACATATTTGTTTTTTTCCACTTTATTAGACACTTTGGACTGATATGACTTACATGGCGGTGCGACGTGTATGGCAAGTACGGTAATCGTAATCGTTAAGAATTTCATTTACATTTCAATTTTGCAAAAAGATGTTTTGATTTGACTTTTTATTCGAGGGCCTCGACTCTTCAGTGATCTAATTTAACACAGGTTTTGTCAATTAATGTTGTTTGTGTTACTGGAACAACCTTTACACATTCCTCCATGTAGCTTTATCCTATTCTTTATTTAAAAAATTCACATTTTCTTTCCAAAAATGTTTAAAAAGTTTGATGGTTACAGCAGACTAAGAATATTTTCTTTGCACAGTAAATGATGACATCAGTTTATTTGTTGGCTCATTGCAGTAGAAAGTTGCAAACCTGAAACATCCCAACTGAAGCTGCATGAATTCTTAACGTAACTGTTGCCCTGCAGCCTTTTCTCTTCCATTCCTGATGTTTTTACGACATTATTATTTTATATAATTTTGTCCTAACACAGAAATTGTGTTCAATATCATATTATTTTTCTTCTCTGTTAATGTTAGACTCAGGTCTCGATTTAGTTTGCCTCCAGCTCAAAATGCGTTCACGTCTTTCCCAGCCTGAATAATTCATTTGTCTGTAAACCTCATGTGATTCTGGCCACAGCCTCGTACTGTGAAAATAGTAACACACACCCAGCTGCCCTCAGCTCTTACTTTTATTACAGCAGCGAAACATACTCTTTACAATATTAGGTTTTGTTTCTAAATCCCCCAAACTTAAGAAAAATAGACGTTCAAGAACCAGGAAGCTTGTTTCCCGTTTCCTGTCTGCCCTCTGCTGAACAGGAAGTGAATTGGAGCTCATCTTGGTAAAAGTCTCAGCTAAGTGTTTGTTTTACTTGGAAGTGAATGGCAACGTGAACTGATATCAGAGTTTGACTGCAGAGATTTCATCAAAGTAATAACATGTCTGCAGAGGCTGAGAGTGAAGGAAAATGTTATTTTTCCTCCCACGCTAACATTTCTCAGAATGACAGGCACGCTGTAATTAGCCAGAATAAAAGCTTGTTTCACATTTCTTCTGGGCCGGCGGGGATCTCTGCTCCGCGCACAGTGCTGCTGTTTTGGATTTAATGTTGAAATCAAGCGGAGACACAGATTAATCTCTGACCATCTCTGGTACCGTTCGGCCGTTCTACGCTCTGAATCGAGCTCGATGTGGATTTGAAACTGCCAGACTGCCGCGTTCGTGTTTGTGTGC